CATCACAGCAGGAAGCCCTCCTGGACAGCACTGCTTTACACAGTCATATATCCAAGAGCTCTCCATCACAAAACATAACTGGGTATGAAGAGCACCAATCTATTTGTGGTCATTAATACAGGTATAATTTTAAGACCACATTATAACAGCATGCACCATATGACTATGCAGTCTTTTTTTTTAAATCCTCACCCAAGAATATGTTTATTGATTTTAGAGAGAAGGAGGAAGGGAGGGAGGGAGAGAAGGAGGGGGGTGGAGGGGAAGGAGAGGGAAACATCCATGTGAGTGAGAAACATCGATCAGTTGCTTCTTGTACGCAACCCAATGACCAGGGATCAGACCCACAATGTAAGTATGTAGCCTGACTGGGAACTGAACCTGCAACCTTTTGGTTTTTGTAATTACCCTACTGTATATGACACTAAACTCAGATTCAGACTAGCCCATGATATATTTTCACCTAAAAAATAAAAGTCAACACTTCTTTGTAGTATCTTTATATTTTCCTTTTTAAAATAAATACAATGTTCTCATCCTGTTTTTCTCTAAAATTATGGTTACAGAAAAAAGTTCCTAAGAATTATCTTCAAAAGTTGAGCCAAATATAAAAGTAAAATACAATTATAATCCATCTCAATAAGAAACCTTTAACAATGAATTCTATCATTATCTTTTATGTTAACAGAGGAGGTCATGTTTCATCAAATCTAAGACTGATTTTGTACACCCTAAATATAAAAGCATACAAATAATTGTAAAAATGTCATCAATTAGTCCCAACTTTTCAGAAATGTCAAAAGGTAAAAAAGTGTACATTTTAAAACTGACTGAGTTGTAGGCATGACAATGAACGAATAATGAAGTGACCTTTCCTGAGCCCCTTCTAGGTAACCGACACTGGGATTTCATGGGAAGCAGCAGACCTGGTCCTTCATTGGCAAAGATCATATTCTCTCCACCCGTCACCTATCCATCATCGATATATCCTATCCATCTTTCAGTCTAAGTTCAAGCCATGAGCCTCCTTCAACCACTGCCGTACAAGTCAACACCCCTTCGACTCGATCCTGTGGCTTCTTTTGTCTCGTGCCATTCACCTGACATGCAATCATTCTCTCTGGTGTTATTTTGCTTTCAGCATAAGTGTGCACGCTCACTCTCTAGCTAAATTCCTCCTTAACAAACATTTGTCTTTATCATCTAAAGCAATAAGAACTCACTCATATTGCCATGACCAGTGTGGCTCAGTTGACTGGGTGTCGTCCCGCAAGGCAAAGGGTCAACGGTTTGATTCCTGGTCAGGACACATGTCTGGGTTGTGGGTTTTTTCCCAGTTGGGGTTGGAGAGCATAGGAGAGGCAATGGATTGATGTTTTTCTCTCTCTCTTTCTCCCTCCCTTCTCCTCTCTCTAAAAATAAGATCTTAAAAAAAAAAAAAACAAAAACCTCAATAAAATCTACTGGGGAATGGGGGAATCTAATAAATAAATGATTTCTATATAACAGTCATGTATGTGTATATATGCAGGGCATATGTACTGGGGAATGGGGGAATCTAATAAATAAATGATTCAATAAAATCTACTGGGGAATGGGGGAATCTAATAAATAAATGATTTCTATATAACAGTCATGTATGTGTATATATGCAGGGCATATGGATACTCTACTGAATAAAAGTTTTTATTTGAAGTTTAAGGGATCATTCACACTTAATAGCTTTATTGAAATAATTTTGTACAATGAAACACAAAATATTAATATCTTAAAAATATATTTGTGAAGAGCTCCAAATATTAATAATTCCACATAGTCATAAAAAACTGAAGTAGAAAGAGGCCTGCATTTAGGGCAAAACTTACAAACCGAGGTAGGCCTTGGACACACTCAGCAAATATCAAGCATAGGCCAAGGTGCAATATAATTTATCTGATTGTGGGAGATCAAAAGGTATGAAATAATCCACTGTAACTTCTGGCCACCGTCTTCTGGCCAGACAGTTCCCCAACCTCACGTTAGGATGCTTCAGGACATGTGCCTACACTGCTAGAATCAGAAACAGACTACAGTGTATTCAATCCAACTATAAAGGACACTCAAATATAATATAGGCAGTCTGCAAATCACGAAAGCAAATTCACCAAGAGTTGCCTACAATCATTAAATATTTTACTTGGTCATGCTATATTTTATGTATAAAGAATAAAGACATTATTACCCTTATTGCAATATTATAATCAAAATTTAAAATGTCATGTAAAATCAGGTTTTCAGAAGAAAAAAACAATAGGCACAAATTTATAAAATTCATTTCTGATTAAGGCTTTCAAATGTTACAATCCCATAAATGTGTTTATGATTCTAAATTTTTAATTGTATCTGATTTATCTGAATGAGGAGTTCAAGGCATAAACTGCTGAGAATATCTTTCAAGACTCTAATTTTCCAATTCATCAAAACACAAAATAAACCCTATATGGTTGAATATAGTCCCAAGGCCATAATGTATATATTGCCTTACATTTAGTGTATAGGCTGTACATAAACCACCTCAGCATTAAAGAAGGGTTTATGTTTAAAAGAATAAATCCACTTGGTTTTATTTAATGTCACATGTTATGTAACTATGGCATTATAAAAAGAGTCAATTATGAGTCTTCCTTTCCATTGCCTCTATAGCTGACTAATCCTTTTTTTTCTCTCTTCCTCTGACCCCTGCTTGTCATTCAAGTTATAACCAAATCTTGTCAAAGGACTGTTACAACTATCTAAGGTTTAATTCTAAATGACCAGCCTTGATTTTACTTCACCCATATACTTCCATATACTTATACTTACAGATATGCAAGAATTAGTAGTTAAATCACCAGGATCTTACGTGCCAATAACAGCAAAGATTTAATAAGCTAGATCCAACAAGGTAGCATTCCTGCTTGAAAAACAGACTAAATGTTGATAAAAATTAAGGTCAGCATGCCTAAATGACAACAGACACCTGCCTAAAATGAGATACTTTTTAAAGAGGTCATAAAACTGAGTGAAATTGGCCAAGTCTATATTCTAGAGATCTCTAAAATCCAGCAAAAACTGTAACTGCTTGGCCCATTGTAATTTATGTATATACCTTTAAGCAAAGACAGCATTAATATGCAGCAATAAAATTAAAATGCTGTAATGAAATTATAGCATTTCATTAATTTTCTTCAGAAAATGTATTTTGTTACCACTAATTCTAGCCAGTGTTTCTTATACCAAGAGACTTGAATGAAACAGCACTCACCCCACCAGCTAGAGTTGAAACAAAAAGAGAGAACACTTTCTAAGTAGTAAGAGTATCCCAAAAGTGTTTCAAGAAATATGAATCTAATTAGCCAGTTCATAGGGAAACTGAAAGTGGAAGATACTATATGGAGACCTAAGGACACAGAAATCCACGTATAATCTAGAATGAAGAAGATGAATCTATAAGTAAACAGAGAGAGTCAGTCAGTAAAGAAAGAATAAAATGACACTCAGAGAACTATGAGAATGCTGAAGAGGTATATGAAAGACAGCATGGTCATCTTCCACAGCTGCCCTACTTCTTAATGGCTTTCCTACACACATTTAGAGCAAACCTCCCTTTTCTTGAAGTAATTTGAGTCTCTGTTGTTCACAACCACAAAACTGCAACCTAGGCCACATGTGATAACTTCCAAGTCTTCCCCTTTTCCCCGATATAGAGGATAACTACTACTACCTCCTTCTGAAAGGGAGGTAAGCCCCTCTCCTGTGAGAGAACCCATTCCTTGCAGTCTGCATGGGGTGGATACCACCCTTCCAGCTGCCATCCTCCTCCAAACATGCGCACATCCCCACTTCCTTGCTGTCAACTGCTCTTATGCGCTCCCGCCCACACACTCACCCACACGCTTTCTTTCTCTCAAGCATCACTTTCCTACATACTCTCCCACGCAAACAGGAGAGACTGTGTGACTCATGCCCAACCAATCAGAATACCCATTCCACTAGGCTCACTAATTTGTTCGGGGCTGTGTATCAGGTCCCAGCTAAAACAGCAAAAGTCCTTCCCACGGCTTTTCATACAGGAGAATTAGTGGCCAAACTGCCAGGCCCAAAGAAAAACACCTACTGAGCAACAGAGAAAACACAGTTCTAAAGGTACCCTGGCTCGGTTGGCTGGATGTCATATCCCACAAAGCAAGAGGTCGCTGGTTCATTCCATGTTAGGGCACATGCCTAGGTTGCAGATTTGGTCCCACTCGGAATGCATACATTCATGTTTTTCACATCAATGTTTTTCTCCCTCTCTCTCTCCCTCCCCTTCTCTCTAAAAAACATAAGGTTTTTTTTTAAAAGAAAAAAAAAAAGAAAATATGGGTATCCAGAAAAATAATAAACAAATAGACTAAGATTTTGCAGTAAATTTCAAGGGAGTCCTAAGGTAAGAATTACAGATCTAGTAAAAAAAGATAATATTCATACATATACAAAAATGCTGTGGTTATTTGTTGATTTTTATACTCTAAGAGAAACAATCCTAAAACTCCATGAGAAATCCTAATAAACTCAACCCATTTAATTTCACTTTCTATGTTTCTTAGTGCAATCAATTAAAAAAAATGAGTTTAACTGAAATTGAGCAAATTGTTCTATCTTAAGGACCAAATAAAAAAAGCAAGGTAAGCTAATCTACATAAGAAACACCTTCTAGGGAAGATGAAAAAAAAAAAACCCCAGAAAATAGCAAACTTAAATTGGCATCCCAGGAAGAACAATTACCAAATGTTAGAGGTAGAAGCAACCTTAGAAATTACCCATATCAATCCTCTCTTTTACTTAATTAAGAAAGGTAAGGCATGGTAAAAGTATGCCCAATATAATTGAGAAGTCTTCCAATGCATGAATCAGATACAGGATAACTGAGATCAGTCTTAGTACCACAATATATTTTAGAACATCCAAATTAGGGTTAATAACAAATCTAATGTACTTACATTAACAAGTAATTCATCTTTTGTTTTAATAACAGGAAAATCATTATCTTCCTGGTCAACTTGTGAATTGTCATCTTCATCGGACAGCACTGGAGGAAGTGATATTCGAGAGGAAGAGGAAGATGAGGAAGATGATGAGGAAGAGGAAGAGCTTGAACTATCTGAATCTGTTTCACTGTAGGAAAGAAGTTGAAAACTTAGTAAAGCAGTAATATGATGGTATTAACATGTATTTATTCAAGTAGGAAGGATCTACTTTACCACATATTTACTCTTGCTGATATTATCCAAAAGCTAGCGTTCTGAAGTTGACTATGGTATTTGGAAAGGAGTCCTTAATCCACCGATAACATTTTCAAAACCTGTTATAACTGCAGCCCACTTATAATAGTCTCACACACCATACATCTCTCTTAATGTAATTAGGCATGTGACAAATCACGGACAGAAAAGAGCTCTGAGCAATTCCCGTCCCTTAGTGGTCACCAATGACCAGATCACTTACTTGCCAATAGTTTCTTCTCAGTCTTCAGGCAACTTAGAAACTCAAAAGTTACGTTTACCATTCTATTCCCCGAAAACTCCTTCAGCCCTTGACTTCAACAGCTATTCCTGTTACAATACCAGTAACTCTTCTCTGAGTTTGAATGTTGTTTGCTGGCTACCCACTTCAGTCCCTTTTAGGTGCTGCTTCTAAAAGTCCGACCCTTATTCTCTCTCCGTACTCTTTGCATGGATAACCTCATGCGCTCCAATGTTTCTGATCATCATCCATGTGTACATAATTCCTACATTTTCCGCACTGATGTCTCTAAGCCTCATCCCTAATCTCCGGTTGCACATTGACCATCTCTGTATGAATGACCTACATGTACCTCACACTAGCAAGTTAAAAGAAAAAAATAAAGTGCATTCTCCTTACTGAATTGCTTCTCTTCTTAAGCTTCTATTTTATTCATCACTTAAGTCTTTCATCCAGTCACTATAGACAGAATCCTTGGGATCATTTTGAGCTATTGCATTCTCAATGATAAAATTCTATCTTCGGATTAGTAAATATCAATTCTGCAACATCATTCACAGTGGCCAAGACATGGAAACAACCAAAGTATCCTTCAATAGATGACTGGATGAAGATGCGGTACACATACACAATGGAGTAATACTTAGACACAAAAAAGATAAAATAATGCCATTTGCAACAACATGGATGGACTTTGAGAACATCACGTAAGCAAAATAAGTCAGACAGAAAAAGCTCAATAACATAATTTCACTCATATGCAGGATTTAAAACTGAAAGCAACAAATGAACAAACAAGAAAAACTAACAAAAACTCACTGACATAGACAACAGTCCAGAGGAAAGGGGGGGCGGTGCAGTAGTAAAGGGGTTAAACATATGGTCACAGGAGATGATCTGACTTTGGGTAGTGGGTACACAATGCAATATACCAATCATGTATCACAGAAATGTACACTTGAAGCCTATATAATCATTAGCCAATGTCACCCCAATAAATTTAATAAAAATAAACAATCATTCATGACTGGACATTAGATATGAGGGAATTATCAATTTTGTTACATGTGATAATAGTATGAAGAATATGTAAGAGAACATCCCCTTAGAGAATGTGTGCTGAAATAATTTATTCAGGGATGAAATATCACATGTACATGACTTTAAAATGGCTCAATAACATAAACATGTGAACCTAACAGTTCTGAAATGTTAATATAGTTGTTAAATCAAAGTGATGGATTTATGGGTTTGGACTATTTTTCCTAATTTTTATTCAGAAAATATTAAGACACAGAGAAAAACCTTAAATTTCACCCCATAAATCCACACTGTGGACAAGGTAAAGGCCATGCTCCGTAAGCATGACATCTCAGGGGCCCTTAAAATCAGGCTCCTGGTGACCTTCCCAATCCCATCTCCTGTCACTTCTCACACACACTCTTACATCTGGCAAATAAGGTTATACAACCTCAGTGTGTACTATTACCTTAGACTAGAATGTACTCAATGTAGAGAAATTCTATTTCTCTTTATAGTCTCAACTCAGATCTTACCTCCTTTGAAGCCACTCCCTACCCACCCAAAGTAGAATTACTTACTTACTTCCCTATCTCTCCCGGCACTTTTTGCAAACTGTCTACTAGAGCCTGTCCCAAAATATACCATAATTCATTGAAAAACATGTCTTCCTAGCTGGATCATGAAGGGCTTGAAACCAAGAGATTAACTCTGACTAGTATTGTCTTTCCTCTCATTATGGGGAAATGAGTAAAGACCAATTCCACCACATGGACTAAGGAACCCATCCCATTCACAAGGGAACTCCTTCCTACTACTATTACTGTATTAGGAATCATTCCCATCAGCATTACCAACACTCTGTACTACCTCTGTTTACTCTCTTCAGTAAACATTTCTTAAGAGTTGTTAACAACTCATTAACTGCTAATGGCTTTAAATATAACATTCACTTAAAAAGATTTAAACGAAAGCCCTGGCATAGCTCAGTGGATTGAGAGAAGGCTGCGAACCAAAGCTTCGCAGGTTCGATTCCCAGTCAGGGCACATGCCTGGGTTGCAGACCATGGCCCCCAGCAACCACACATTGATGTTTCTCTCTCTCTCTCTTTCTCCCTCCCTTCCCTCTCTAAAAATAAATAAATAAATATCTTTTAAAAAATTAAAAAAAAAAGATTTAAACGACATTAACACTCAAATCAGAGTTGAACCTTGTTTGAATTCTAACTCAAACCAACTATTAAAAGACATCCTTCAGACATCCAGAAAAATCTTAATACAAACGGAGCATTAGGTGATATTAAGGAATTAATTAATTTTACTAAGGTGAATAATGACATAGGTATATAAAAAGTATTTTATCAAGTATTGCATAGTAAAAAATTTACAGGTAAGGTGGCAAACTCCCTTTAAAGCTATCAGGTTAAAAAGGTAGAAATGTTAACTAAAACAAGAGTAGCAAAATATTGGAAACTGCTAAGTTCAGTGATGAGTAGATGTGCATTCATTATATCCAAGTTTTTTCCCAAGTCTGAAAATATCCGTTAAAAGTTAGTTTTACTTGAAATATGATGATGCTCAAATGTACATCTCCAGCTCAAAACTGTCCTCCCAACTCTAAACTCATTATATTGCTACTGTTTGCCTAACATCTCCAATTTGTTGCCAGAGAGATCTCTTATTAAGTGTCCAAACTAAACATTCCCATTAGTCTCCAACCCCCCTCCTAGTGAACAGCACTACAATCCACTCTGTTGATGGCTCTTTGCCTAGACTACTAACTGCCACGTCTATTAACAGGCCCTATCAGTGTGACTTCAAAATATTTAATCCAGACCCAACCACGTCACATCATGGATTTATGCAACATCTTTCAACTATTTCCACTCTTGCTTCTCTGCTTTTACTCTAGAACCAGTTCAATTCTTCCTGCGCAGAGCAAAACTCATGAGAAGGTTAACCTGAGCATGCCATTCCTGTGCTTAAAATCTTCCAAAAGCTTCTCTAGCACCTAGAATTAAAACTTTTACATGGCCACAGTGTCCTACAGGGTTGGCTCTACTAATACTTTCTCAGTGCCTTGCTCGTTCCTTCAGGGTAACTTTCACTAACTCCACTTATTTACTAGTATGTTTACTCATCTTTTTCATCCCCCTCACTGGAAAGTAGGGCAGGGATCATGTCTAACTCTGTTCAGTATCCCACCCAATACATTCAAATACTATTTGTAAACAATGTTGAGTGTGGGCAAGGAATATCCTAAATACTTAAGCCCTCTTCCATCACAGAAATTTCATATTTAAAAGGCGCGAGGTGGCGGGGTGGGCGACTCTTACAAAACCTAATCAGAGTATACAGTAATACTAAAGAGCAGTATCTTGCTAATTTCACGAATGCGTGCTGCCCACAAGCACTATAAGAATTAACAAACTTGCCAGAAGCCAATTTGGAAACACAAAATCCTTTAACTAACTAATCCTCACTTCATCTGGTTCAAACACGAGAACACAGGCTACACTGTATGTAAGAAAATACGTCAGATCTGACACAAAACTCAAAAGCTGTAACCACGAAGAGACACGCCGAACTAAGTATTATGAAAATAATCTAAGTTTCCTATATTTTAACTGAAAATGCTGCGATCTATACATAAAACCTTTCAGACTACCAGATTTAGAGAGGAGATTAGGAGTCTGCAGCGTACACGGAGAAATGGGCGGTCCGAGCTACAAGTCAACACGTGCTCAGAGAATTTCAGGGACCTCCCCTGCCGCCCGGGCCCATGCGGGCACCACCTCGGCCCCCAAGCCCCGGCTCCTCCCGCAGGTTACATAAACAGTTTCGGGACCCGCAGGCACCCGACCTGTCCGAGTCCGAATCCGAGTCCGAGGTCCCCAAGGAGTCTGTGGTCCGCACCAGTTCTGCAGGGCCGGGACCGGTGACGCAGGTCCCTCCAGGTAGCGGTTCTGACCCCAACTGCGGCGCGGGGTTCCCGCCAACGGCAGTGCTCAGCGCGAGTTCAGGCGGCTGCTCCTTGGCTAGCTGAGCCTCCGCGTCCTGCCCAGTGTCTGGAGGCACCTCATCCGACGGTGGTGGCTGCGGTGGCTCTGGTTCAGGAACGGAGCCCGGTGACTGCACCGCCTGCCCGGGGGCAACCCCAAAGCCGGTGCCACCGAATTTCAGAGTCTCCAACTGAGCAGCGGCGGCCTCCACTACTTCCATCGCGGCGCTCTAGAGACCGGGTCAGGCTCAAGTTCTTGGCCTCGAAAGGCTCTCGGCTCGATCTGGAACTAAAACAACCTTAGCAGTGGATGGAACAGCGCCTAGGCCCCAACTCCCGCGTTTCTCCCGTAACTACACGCGGGGTTACCTAGAGACACGCCCCCACCGTTTACTCACCGGCACTTCCGGGAGAGCGTGTGACGTAACATTACGCAACCGCGCTCACTGGGGGCGGGGCGGGGCGGACCCGGGATCTTTGCCGATAGTGCCTTAGGCAGCCCTAAACTCCACCCTTTTACCGCAACTTTGGAACCGTGTACAGCTCTAACCGCAAAATCAGATGGCTAGACTCCTAGTCCTGTCACTGGATCTGGTGCAATTCTATTAGCGAATATGTGATTGTGCGAGGCTCTGTACTTCAGTAACTGGAGCCAGGAAGACTTGAACAGACACTTTTAGTAAACTTCGGTAAAATTACGTTAAATGGATTGATAGATAGCAAGCACATTGACCATTTATCTAAAAAAAAAAATTACCACAGCTATTCCGATTGTTTTTTTTCTCTAAAGCAGCCTCAAATTCTAAAGAGCAGTAATGGTGGACAGAATGTGTCACTCAGTGAAGTCTATCTTGTAGTAAGTAGTTGACACTGTTTCAGAAAATGGGTGGGAGGAGACTAAAATGTACTAACTTAACTTGGAAAACCATTACTCTAGAAGATCATAAGGAAAACAAGCAAAAAGTTCTTAGGATTGAGGTAGGGATCAGAATCTTATGGTTTCCTATTGGAACTTAAATTTAATGCATCAGTCCTTCCAGTAGTAGTAGTCATTGTTACCATTGTTAAGCAAACATATGTGTCAAGGAATATGCTAAAGATTTTATCAATTGCAGTCCTCTAGAGGAGGATTGGTTCCAGGAGACCCCAACCCCTCCCCCCAGATACCAAATCCAGGAATGCTCAAGTCCTTTATATGAAATGGCATAGTATTTGCATATAACCTACACACATCTTCCTGTATGCTAAAAATCATCAATGAAGTACTTGTGATACCTCATACAATGCAAATGCTATGTAAATGATTTATATACTGTATCATTTAGGTAATAATGACAAAAAAATCTGTACATGTTCAGTACAGACACAACCTTCATAGGCCTAGCTACATAGTACATATCAGCAACAATATAACATTTAAAAAAATATTTTCCTTCCGAGGTCAAGGTCCATTGATTCCATGGATGCAGGACCCACAGATGCAGAGGGCTGACTGTATTCAATGAGAATTTATCATGTGCTCTCCACAGTAGTAAACCTTCACAGAAATTCAAGGTACAAGTGGTTTTAAGGAGCTTACAATCCAATTGAAGTAAAAAGGTCAACAACACACAGGAGAGAGCAAAATACTTGAAATGTGGAATAGAAGATGTAAGTTCAGTAGTAACAGGAAGTTGTGTAAGAGTGGTGGACCATATCATGGAAATACTGTAAAGAGAAGCAGGAATTTAAACTTAAGATACTACTCACTAGATTATGAGCTCCCTTACCTTTCTGCCTCCAGATTTATAAACTTCTTCAAATCCATTTTCATTCTTATCTCTTTAATCTTAAAAAGAAAGTTTCCTCCTAATCTAGAAGTGATATAGATGTGCTATGGATTTCAAGGCTTCAGACCTGCTCAGGGACCATTCTCATCTATTTTATCTTTTAAAATCAACCTTTTTCTTTCTTTGTTCTATTTCCTTTTTCCCCTCCTTGAATGTGTTTTCTTTTCAACCTCTCTTTGTATTTTATTTCTTCATTGGGAAACCATTTGAAAAAATCATCTGCACTTGGTTTTCTCCAATTCCTCATCTTCCATTCCTTAACTCAGTGCAGTAAACCTAATGACAAAACCACTACACTGAAACTTCTCTTTGAAAGCCATAAACAACTTTAACTGAATGGCCAATTCCAGTCAATATTCTTTAGCTGGCATTCATCTTTGCTGGCCTCTAGGAATATGACATTGTTTATCACTCCTTCCACTTTTGTGATCTGGGGTAGCATTCTTATATTTCTCCCCTCTCTGCTTTCTTTCTTTATTTATTTTTAGTTTTATTTGTGACTCTCCATTCACTCTTACTCTTTGGTATATTGATCAGTTTCACCTCTCCCTAATCCATTCTTACACTTTAGCCAGAATATGATTTCTGAAATGCAAATGTAATCATATAATTTTTCTGAAACCTTCTAATAACTCACTTTTGTCTTAAGATAACATCAGATTACTAAGTGTGGCATGGAAAGTAAGCCTTATAAGTCACCCACCCGAGTGGTGATGAGAATAAACATGATGTTGTCAGAAACAATTTTAACCAAAGCATGGTGACAGGAAAATATTTTGTGATTTCTGCATTCAACACACTGATCTCAAAGATGTCAAAATTTATATAATCTAAAACGAGTGCTCTTAAAAATTGAAGCCATAAACTGTATCTTAGACTGCTATGAGGACCCCGCTTTCATTATTGCTGACCCTTACAAATGATCATCTGTCTTTGGCATTAGATCATCCTCTGCTCCAAACCTTGAACCCCATTTTTATGGCAGGGACTTTAAAGACCCTCCCAACCACATTGAGTGTGACTAAGAATGCCAGTTGGTATAGGTCTTTCAGGGACTCTTCAAAATGCTCTTATGATAAATATACATTCCCCCTGCCTACGGCTGCTAGAAAAACTATCAGGTGGACCACATGAATCAGGTCATTGAAGAAAGTCCCCAAAGACACAAAATCTCTGGGAGGGATTACAGGGTTATCTCTTTTCCTGAGGACAGAATGTACATATACTGACTGCGGTAGACTGGACACTTGGGCAGCCCCCCAATTCATATGTTGAAACCTGACTTCCAAGTGGTAGTAGTAGCAGGAGGGGACTATGGGAGGTGACTAAGTCATGAGGATGGAGCCCTCGTAAAAGGGACTAGTGGTTTTCGAAAAGAGATCTGAGAGAGCTCCCTAGCTTTTCTGTCAGTGATTTAAATGGAAAAGTCAGCAGTCCGCAGACAGGCAGGGTGCTCTCATCGGAGCCCACCCACCCTGGTGCCCTGAACTTAGACTTCAGTCCTTCAGAACTGTGAGAAATAAATTCCTGTTGTTTATGAATCACCCAGTCTATGGTACTTAGTTATAACATCCTGACTGACGAAGACACCAGCATCTCATGACACAGTTGTTAACAGCATATTAAATTCGAACTTTTGAATGAAGCACCAGAATACAGGAGGTGCTAGACTTGCTTGGATGTAGAATTTCAAAGGAAATAACCAATACTCATTTATAAAAATCTTACATCAGAAAACTGAAAAAAAAAAAGAGGGATATTTTGGAAGAAAAAGTCATGGAATATTGTGATTCCCACAGCCTCCCTCAACCTCCCTTGACTATTCTCCCCGCCATCTCCCAGCAACACAGGAGAGACTGCAAACCCTAGAATGATAGCAAGCTACAAAAAGAGAAGAGATAGTAGGAAACAATAAAAGAGAAAAGGAAGACCAAGTCCCACTTCCCACTGTCGGTGACCAGCTCAAAGAAGGTTTCAGCTGAAGGTAAGTGAGACTTAATGTTAAAATCAAATTTAGAGCTTTGATTATTATCTAGGACATATTACATTTCTGAGTGGTGGCTATATTTGTACCTTTAAAGATATAGGATTTACTCTTGATGAAGAGTGATCAGCCAAGTCAGAGGGGTTGAGTTTCCACACAGGCAGAAGGATTACTCCCACTGGGCAGATTTAGTGGGACTGTGGAAGGCAGAAGTAAAGCTGTATTTTGAATCACATGGCGTGAGTCCATTGTACATAATCATAATCCCCAAACTCTCCCAGCCAACTGCCTACCCAAATCTGGAAGAGTTCCCCATGGCAGGGTACCCTTTTATAGTCAAGATCAGGGACACTTCAACATCTTCAGGAAAGCTTGCCTTGCTGAGAACAGAGGGTAATTCAAGCAGACACAAACTGCTACAAAGTGGAAGATGATGTGGACCCATAATAGGGATTCACTGTTATCAATCTCATCATTTTCTTGCTTAAAATCCCCCACTTTGTATATTCATCTTCACTCCTCATTATGCCTAACTTTTGGACATTGCCTCATTTCTTCTGTCCCAAACCAGTCCTGACACTCGGCTGCAGGACGTGGCTCCATGACACTCAAGGGCATCTCACTTCTTCATACACACTCCAGACCAGGAATATCTGTAATATCTGTGGTTATGATGGATGGAGCAAGGGAAAAGGAGTGAGTGACTGCATCCTTCCTGGCAGCCAGATTCCACAGCAGGCTCCAGGTTAAAAGGGGCCTCTGAAATGTACTGAACTGCTAGATATAAACCATACTCTACAACCATCTTGAACTCTTTCTTCTTCTACCTTTGTATTTTTTCTCTTTTTAAAAGATTGTATTTATTTATTTTTAGAAAGGGGAAGGGAGGGAGAAAGAAAGGGAGTGAAACATCGATGTGCTAGAGATACATTGATCAATTGCCTCTTACACGGACCCCAACTGGGAACCTGGCCCACAACCCATGTATGTGCCCTGACTGGCAATCAAAGTGGTGACCTTTCAGTCCCCAGGCCAGCACTCAGTCCACTGAGGCACACCAGCCAGGGCTCTTTGTATTTTCTCAATTCCATCTCAGTAGACTTTGCATTCATTATGATATACCTATTACACTTTTGCCCAGGGAAATGCTCTCTCTTCATCCCACCAACACATCTCAGAACCAGCTTGGCTTGTACTGCTTCAGAATGCCTACTTACCCTCAAATAACCTCTCACCTAGGGCCGTATGGCTGTGAGCAGTGCTGCAACCTATTTGGCTGACCAGTGGGTCGGGCAGGGTAGGCAGCACGGAGACATGAGAGAGGGTGGCAACAAGACCTGCAAGGCAATGTTCTATGTCAGTTATGGCTGAATGAAGCTGTATTTTTTTTTAAGTGATTATTTTTGGAATTGCTGCTGTAATCCAGGATGGATGTACGGGTAACACACTCAACAGATTTCTTACATTTAATTTTATTTTCAGTTCTGTCTGAAGCTGGGGATTACATTCCCCTTTTCTCTGAATTTTAGTTTATAGGCCAATTTCGAGCCCTTCTATTTGTTGCCTATAATTCAGTCTTGAAG